CTCACGCCACCGTCGTTGTCTCTCCTCGGGGGGAAGGTGGCCGAGCTGCATGGGCTCCTCCGCCAGCATGGGTACAGGAGCTGGCGTGGGTGAAGGAGGGCGAGGCACCGGCGTCCTGGGTGGACGCGTGGATAACTTGGGTCGAACCAGAACCCGCTGGTCGATGCGCAGCGCCAGATCAACCACCTCATCCAGGGTCTGAGGCAGCTCCCTTCCCGCCAACTCATCACGGATGTAGGGTGCCAGCCCCTCCAGGAAGGCGGCCCGCAGAGCGGAGTCATTCCACTGCAGCTTGGCGGAGATGGTGCGAAACTCCGACGCATAAGCGCACACTGAGCGTTCTCGCTGGCGGAGTTTGAGAAGGCGTGTCTCTGCTCCCACTTCGCTGCTGGGGGGAACAAAGGTCTTCCGGAGAGCGGACACAAACGCAGCATAGTCGTTGCAGGCAGGGGATTTGGAATTGTAAAGCGCAGCAGCCCACTCCGCGGCGCTTCCGGAGAGCAGGGAGGTGAGATGCGCCACTCGGGAGCGCGCAGATGGGTAGCGTCCAGGTTGGCACTCGAACTGCATGTCCAGCGTGGCGAGCAGACCATCGGGGCTCCCCGTCTCCCCGTTCCACCTCTCCGGCAGGCTGAAGTGGGGCTCCTCCCTAGGAGCAGAGCGGGTTGGCTGCTGGAGTGCAGCGATCTGTTGCTGCTGATCGTTTGCCTGTTGTTGGAGAGCCGTGAGAGCCGTGGATAGACGCAGGGTGTGGTCGGACAAGGAGTTCACCTTGGTGTTGAGCTGATCTACCATGGAACGCAGCTGCACGTTCTCGTGGCGGAGACGATCGATCTCCGTCAAATCTACTCGGATCTCAGTCATCCTGTCAGGCTGATCAGACTGGATGAAGGAGACGAACAAGGTGAGACGTTTAACAGTTTTATTATTTCTCTGGTCGTATCTCTGTGAGGAAGAAACGATGACTGAGATGAGAAGCCGGTCACATCGTCTTCCATATATAGCCTTGCTTGGCTGTGACGTGGAGGGAATCCCCGCGAGGAGCACGCTGGGAGCTCCCCACGAGGGGCATGTCGGGAGTTGTGGTCCGAAGGTCAGCCGGGAGATACCTGAGTCCTGACACATACATCTAGGTTAAACAGTCAAAATACCTGGATTTATTACACTTTGTTGACTTTCTTGTGTCAAAATAGCTCATATGTGCATTATAATTAGATTTTATAAAAACAACTTTGCAATACAACACATTTCATTTTCACTCCACACGAGACATTGATCACTTAGGATTTAGGATCAAAACAGACAAGTGTCCACGCGACATGGAGACTGCACACAACTTACATACAATTCATTTTCACATTCACATGGTGTCAGGGAAAACACACTTTCCTGTATTTTTTTCTAAATGTTGCTCAATTATTGAATCTTTCTCTTGCTCTACATTGTGTAGAACATAATTATGCAGTGGAAATACATCACCTGATCTTTGTGGAATCCACCAGAGTGGAACATTAGCTCAATCAATGTCAATTATTTCCCAGTCCCCATTGTTGTGCCACCAGGAGTGGGCAGAATTTCAATTCTCACTCTGCAGCTGCTTTAGTTACTTGGAGTCCTGGGCTTTTGTCATGTCATGGCGAGTGAAGATCAAGGCCAGTGGTGTTAAACAAGTAGCCCGGGAAACAAAAAAATGGTAACGGATTTGTCGCACGACAACGTGCAGCATGGGAGAGGAGGTCTGAAATGGAGGCTATACATTTGCTCTGTGTCGATGTAATTTATGTCAATGAACATGCAGTTGTATTAAAATATGGTCATGTATTTACTTGTTGCACACCACACTTAGTTTAATGGTTCCTCTTTGGAACAGTTCGTGAACCCCCAGGAGTGCATGCTTGTACTTGGTCTCTTTATAAAAGCAACACTCTGAATTTTTTACCTCAGCAGTTGTATGTGAGGCAGTGTGAGCGTCCTGTCACAGTGTCCCGATTCATCACGCGCCCTGGCTACTTGGCTAAGGGGATGTCCCTTTGGCTGACTGGTAAGTGCGCGTGACTCTCACCCGGGAGTCTGGGGATCGAATCCCGCCCGGGCCCTCGTTACTCATCCTTGCCACATTTGTATTGTAACTAGGGTTCGAATTACAGGGGAGCCTAGCTCCCCAAAAGGGTGGTGTGCTCTCCAGAAGCCCTCAACTGACACACCAAAGGGGGAGGCCGAAAAAGATAAGGACTCTCAGCAGGAGTTCTTTCAAGATAACCGTGTCTACCGTCTTCCCCGTACACAACCTGGCTTTTAAGGCAGGTTGAGAGGCTTTTAATGGAGTTGATCAGAAAGGTGACACCTCCCCCCATCTCACACGGCTTCCCAAAAAGCCTGTGTGTAATTCAAATGCTGATTATAACTATAACTAATGAGTACTTTTTGAAGCTGGAACACATACAAATCAACCGTTTTCTTCTTCACCTGGATTTTTTTTTTTCATTTCATTTCTGGATATAGAGATATGGAGGTATGGTCTGGGAAATCAAACGAGGCTCTAGAATAAAGCCTTACCTATCACCAGTTCAGCTTTGAAAAGGAAGGCACAAAAACGACAATGTCCAGGTATGTCTAGGCACTTCTTCATGCATCTCCATAAGTGGATAGATACTTTAGAAAACACTTGAACACATCAGCATTGAAGGATTTTAACTTGCCATCAGTGAGGGTTTTAATGTGACAGGTTCACAGTCAGCATGTTTCTAACTAAACAGCATATTGTTTAGTAAGAAACATGCTCTGAACAGATGAGTCTAAGTGAAGCTACTGTTCCATGTTTGAAGAAAACCATGAAGCATTTGTTTAACGTTGGACAGAAAACAACTACATCTAGTTATTCCTGTTCAAGATGTTTCTTCAAGCTGTTGAATTATGGGACAGATCGAGGTTTTCACTCAAAAGTATTTCATTTTTGTTCCTCTATTATAATAAAAGGATGCAATAGATTTGATGTTTTTGCACATTCGAGGCTTGATTTGAATAATTTCTGAATCTGTTAAAGAAAATATATTATTTATGCTCTGATATCTAAAACCCATCCACCCATTTTCAGCCGCTTATCCAGAGTTGGGTTGTGGGGGCAGCAGCCTAAGCTGGGACACCCAGACCTCCCTCTTCCCAGCTACTTTAGCCAGCTCTTCCGGGGAATTCCAAGGTATTTCCTGGCCAACCGTGAGACATAGTCCCTCCAACATGTCCTGGGTCTTGGGTCTCCTCCCAGTTGGACGTGCCTGGAAAACCTCACCAGGGAGGCATCCAGGAGGCGTCCTTTCCAGATACCTAGGCCAACTAAACTGGCTCCTCTTGACATGGAGGAGCAGCAGGTCTACTCCAAGCCCCTCCTGGATGACCGAGCTTCTCAACCTATCTCTAAGGATGAGCCCAGCCACCCTGCGGAGAAAACTCATTTCGGCCACTTTTATCCGAAATGTCGTTCTTTCAGTCAATACCTAAAGCTCATGACCACAGGTGAGGGTAGGAACATAGATCAACTAGTAAATCAAGAGCTTCTCCTTCTGACTCAGCTCTCTCTTCACCACGGCAGATCGGCACAACACCCGTATCTCTGCAGATGCAGCGACAATCCGCCTCTCACCCTTCATTTGTCCCTGATTCATGAACAAAATCCCGAGATACTCAAACCGTTCCACTTGAGGCAGGACCTCGTCCCTGACCCAGAGAAGGCATTCTACCCTTTTCTGACTTAAACTAAAACCCTAACACTGAAAAAGGTGGCCTTTCCTTTTCCCATGATTGCACTAAACTGCATGGCTGCTGTGTAATTTTCTGGTAAATTAAGATGCAGAAATCCTCTGCGTAATAGTGAATGTTTTTATTTCGCTAAGTTCATATTTTAAAGTGCTTTTTAAGTGATCAGTATAAGACTCGGCTAATCAGAGCGAGACTTTTATAATCTTTCAAAAAAAAAAGGGAGCACATCCAATCGGAAAACAACTCTTCTCACATCTTAAGTTTTAAAATTTACATGATTAAAAATGGATTAGGTTTCAGTTTTCATTAACTGGAATTCATGAAAGATAAAGTCTTAACACAGATATCTGTAATCACCATTTGCTGGCTCCAACCATCAATGGTCACAACCTGTTGTTGTTGCTGTTGTCTGGAAAAAAAGGAGAATCAGCTACATAAACAACTACTTTAACATATTATTTATTACTCGCTACGAGAGCTACCTTTTAGGAGGAAAAAGTAAAAACATCAATGTCATTTGTTTTCGTCTGTAGAGTTAAATGTAGAGGAGCATCTTTTCTGCTGATGCTGTTGAACCACATAAAAATTATTCATAATAATTAGAAGCAGCTAATTAAACAGATTGAAGGGTTTCCTGCCGATAGCCGGCATTAATGAAAATGTTTACTTCTTGAGTAATTTGTTACCTAAAAGCTTGTGAATGAATACACAATTAAACAGATAAAAAATAAATAAACAGACACATAAATACATTTCATTTAAAAGTGTAGCAGTACAGTTCATGATCCAGAAGAGACTACACCTGAAAGGAGCAGCTATTTAGTTAAACACAAAAAAACAGTCAGTAGAGTCACAGTTTTCCAGTATTGTGCAGCTGCTACATAAAGTACTTCTCTTCTGACACATTTTAGTTCTGTTATTACATGCATCACATTTACACAACGAACCTGAAAACTGACATGGGAGTTGAACCTAGAGAAAACTTCAGATATTAGTGTTAACTCCACATTCACTTATGTTGTTGTCTGTTCAAATATTCTATTGCCTTTCGTTTTTATGATGATCTGTGTTGGTCAAGTTTCTTTTATATTAGAGATCGAGCAGGGTTACATGGCGATATTTACATTTTTAGAAGTTTGATTAAAAAATAACAATCATTTGCAAAATTAGACAAAAACTCTTAAAAACCAAATCAAAGCACATTTATTTTTTCATTTACTTTGAAAGGCCTTGCTCCCTCCTCTTACCTTTGTGAGTGGTAGAGGATGAAGGTGTCCAGCAAGAGCCAGCTTAACGGTGGTCTCCCAGATGTGGGGATCGTGCAGCCCCCTCGCTGTAAGCATGAACTGGACGGGCTCTGAAAGGTTGGCCACTTCCTGTTCAGCATACACCGTCCCATCAGGCCTCACGCTGAACTTTGGATCGCTGCTGACAAAGCCCACCTCTCTGCTGCGCTGGCAATCCTCAAACTTCACTGCAGGGGCAGAGAGAAAGATGGAGAGGAGATACAGAATGAGAGAGCTGAACAGGGAGATTTATTCCATAAGGTGTTCGCAAATCCTTGACACATCTGGCAGACTTAAGATTAAACCGCATCCATCAAGACGTATCTTGAAATATCTCATCCCTTCTGCTGTCACTTCTGATTCCCTGCTTTGTCGTCTTTGGCAAAACAAACTGCTTATCTCTTCCTGAACCGGAGTAACACCGAAAAGGAACTTAATACTTTTTCATATATTTCTTTTCCCAAACTGGGTGCCAATGTCAAAATAGCATTTCCTCTGGCTCCTCAAGGAGAGCATGGAGTGATGGTCTGAAGCACATTAAGGTTACTGGCCTGTTACTGCACAATGCTCATTGGGTCTGGAATGACATTTGGAGTATTCAACTCCACTGACCCAAAAGATCAAGAACTGCAGGAATCTCGTGTTTGCATGGGTGCACATAAATGCAGGTTGATTAAAATCAGGACATCTGTAGGCTAATAAATATTAGTTTGAATTCATTTAGGCCCATAATTACAGTAGATCGCTGTTCCTTTCTGCAGTTATGTGCCTGTTTCAGGGATTCAGACGTAAAAGATTTTATTTTCTCGTTACTTCAGCTATGAACAAATGGTTTAGATGGATCACAAAGACAGAGATAAAGATGTTGTTGACTGGAAAACGAAGGTGCAGTTTGTTCAGAAACCAGCTGACAGACAAATGGCAGAGGACAAATACACTAATAAATACCAGAGAAACTCAAAAGTAGCAGAGAAAGAAAGACTGCAGAAATTATTTTTCTCTTATTGCCAAACATAATCAACATTCAGTGTTTCTTTTTCATGTTTCACAGCATGATGCAACATCAATGATCTGAATGACAAACGGGTATTTTCAACATATCCCTTACACACACACACACACACACACACACACACACACACACACACACACACACACACACACACACACACACACACACACACACACACACACACACACACACACACACACACACACACACACACACACACACACACACACACACACACACACGCATGCATGCATGCCCCAAGCAGCCTTTGTCTCACTACCCCCAAGAAATGTGGATGCATGTGCTATGATGTTATCTGACAAACTCGGGCTGCTGATAACAAGACAAATTGATTTCATAAATCACTCAGGGAACAGATCATCTGTTACGGACAGCGACAGTGTGATTTCTCAAAAATCCAGCGTGAAGAAATCTGCACGGCAAGCTTTTTATCAAGCCATCTATTTAATTTATCGCTCAGCTTCCTGTCAAAAGCAACTTCCAAACAACAGGCTAATAAAGCATGAGATCTCCTCAGCCAGAGCAGCTTAGCATCCCACAAATGAGCTTGCTTGTTTTCAGCCTCTGAGTAATTGCACACATAATGGGGACGGACGGTAAACACAGTTCTGACAATGTGTGCATCTGTTTGCGTTAGCACATGTGATCCATATTTTTATTAAAGACAGAAACACACACTCTCTCAGACAGAGACAGAGAACCCGGCTGTGAGTGATAAATTATTGCCTAGCGTTAGCGATCGTTCACTGGGGGTGTGGGTTGGGAGGAAGGCTGTGTTTAAACATCAGGTTGTGACAACGTGACACAGAGCTGCTTGAATTGTCCACAGATGAGTTGTGATGGCAGACATACATTATGTAAATGATTTCAATTAGCTTGAACTGAGCGGGCTAATTGTTGTCACTTGCATAGGTCCCTAGTGGTGCAGCTGGAGAATTGAGGATTAAGGAGCTGAGCTTTGCACTGACGAGTGTGTGTGTGCTCCACACACACACACACACTCGTCAGTGCAAAACTCAGCTCCTTAGCTGCAGAATATATTAGCGCCGATGTTGACAAAAAAACCAACAAGGAGTCTGAAAGTCTTTCTGAACCTGATGCCTGATGTTCCGTCTTGTTGGCATGGGAACACACCAACATTTTTAAAATGCTATTAGAGCTTTATCTTTGATTCTTAAAGGGGCATCCAGCCAGCTCCCGGCTCACCATTCAGCGCCCGCTGGTGTGCATTGACTCGGGACTCGGGACCCAGACTCCTGATACTAAGAGTACAGATATTCATGTGTGTCGCTATAGCCATTAGACATCCTGAGCACAATGCACATTCAAATCAGGAAGTGGGATCAGAGCGGCCCATAGGTAAATAAAGATGATACCAGCAATGAGACAATAGAGAAACTAGATGATGATAGGGTGTGTGTGTGTGTGTGTGTGTGTGTGTGTGTGTGTGTGTGTGTGTGTGTGTGTGTGTGTGTGTGTGTGTGTGTGTGTGTGTGTGTGTGTGAGTGAGTGAGGATAAAAGTAGAAGACAAGGGAGGCAGATGCTGTGGTGCACAACAAAACGGGGAATTTAAACAAAATGCTGCAAATTAACACCAATGGGAGTTTTTCTGTTTCAGAGAGTGATTTAGTTTATTATACAGTGTAAAACAAAGACAATTATGTTCAGGGCTAATACGTTTTATTTTTTATTGCAATTAATCTGTTTTGTCATTTAGCAAACCAGAGATCAACTTGTGCAAAAACAAAAAAAAGGCAAGTTATGACTATTAAATGAGGTCAAGGCTGACAGACTAAGCCCATTATTCATCAACCATATTTGGTGTAAATGGATATTTTTACTGAGCCTAAAATCTTTTTAACCTATGCATCAAGTAGTACTGATGAGTACGGGAAGGGCTAGAAAAGTCTGCAGCTCTCCATAAAGCCACATGGATGCTTCGTCATGACTTGGAGTTGTTAGAGGATAATCTATGGAATTATAAATGCTGAAAGGTAAAGACAGATTACATCCACTAGGCATCAACTGGAGAACATCTGACCAAGAGTAACTTCATTTATCTGCAGAAATGATCCAGCAGAAAAAAATACCTGGAAAGAAAAACACACGGTGGAACACCATCACTCACGGATCGACTTTTCGGGAATTTCAACATTACCTAAGCGGTGAGGGATCGTCTTGACAGGGATGAAACAAAAGACAGCTTTCAAAAGTCCTTTAACAAGCCTGGACAACATTTTCTGAAGATCAATATATAAAAAAATTGCCATGCCAATTTCTAATGTGAGGTTGGACAGTAGAGAAGCAAAAAAGGTCCTGGGTTCAAATCCCGGCCTGGTGTCTTTCTGCATGGAGTTTGCATGTTCTCCCTGCATGCTTCCCTCCAGGTTCTCACACTTCCTCTCACAGTCCAGAACATAACTGTTAGGTTAATTAGCCTCTCTGTATTGTCCTAAGGTGTGTGTGTGTGTGTGTGTGTGTGTGTGTGTGTGTGTGTGTGTGTGTGTGTGTGTGTGTACATGCTTGTTTGTCCTGTGTGTCTCTATATTACTGTGCCCAGCAACCTGTCCAGGATGTACCCTACCCTGTTCACCTGAAGACTGCTGAAGATAGGCACCCGCCCCCATGACCCCGCAAGGATAAGCGTGTATAGCTATTGGATGGAGGGATTCATCTGTTAAAGGTTTTTATTTTATATTTGGATTCATTTGTAGTAATTTAGGAGCATTTTAAATATATCTGAACAGAATGCCGTTGGCTATCTTAAATATCTTATTAACGTTAAATGATATGTACGCACCTAAAATCCTATTGTAGTAACAATCTGAATGGATGAGTCTCACAGTTTGGAGAAGCAGCTCTATCACCTTTCTAAACATTCTTTAGAGAAGTGGGGCTGCCAATCCAATCACTCTAAGGCAGGAGTATCCAAGTCCGGTCCTGGAGGGTCGGTATCCCGTACATTCTGGTTATAACTCTGCTTCAACACACCTGATTTCAATCAGCAGGTGATTAACAGGCCTCTGCAAAGCCTGATGTGCCGCTGCACAGGTGATTCAATCACTGAATCAGGTGTGTTGGAGCAGAAAAACCACTAAAACGTGGTTGATACCAGCCATCCAGGAACAACATTGACTACCCCTGCTTTAGGGTCACTCAGACAGGCGTGTTTGTTAAAGTTAAAATTTACATTTTGTATCATAAAAGTGAATGTTATCCAAATAGACTCAAGCTATTGCAAAACATACAACTTACAAAACAAACTTACAGCATGGTACCAAACGTAATTAAGGATAACCCACATCAAAGACAATTACTTCTTCATGTCACTATAACCCTGTGCAGACTACTTTAAACCAACACACTCATGGAGAAGATGCAACAGCACGTGACACCAAGCATTAATTAGCATGAACATTCATTTTAATTATCAAAAACAATCTTGCATATATTTTTATTTCAATGCATCTAAAACATTGTTTTGTAATGCATCCAAACCATGCCCATTGTTCTCACCGTCTTTTGTTACTGATAGACCACTGAGGTGATTAGGTCTTTCATCTTAGACAAAATATACCAGTTTTTATTTCTAAGTACTCCAAAAAGCACCAAAAGTAAGAAAATACAACTTTAGTGAGAGTATGACCAAACGACTCCTTCAACTTGGCTGATTTAACTTTTACATACATGTGGTAATGAAAATGAAGCTGTTCACTGTCAACATGGAAAACCATTTAAATCTTTTTTGCTGATGGACTAAAGTAAACATTTTTTGCCCAATCTCTTATAGAAGCACCCAAAAGTACAAGTATTTATTTTAATCGCCGCTGCGCAAAATGCAAACAAAACCTCTGAGGCACAACAATCATTTCTAGTTTGTAAACAGCAGTTTCACTCAAAATGGGGCGGGGCTATTAGAAGATGCAGGAAGTATTTTCCATCCCTTTATTTGGAAATTCTGATATTGCAAAGCTGATTACGACCCCTCAAATTGCTTTAGTACTTTCTCTGCATCTGCTACCAATGGAAACTACATAAAACCATTACTGATGGATTTGTTAGAGTCCTTACTTTCTCTTAGTTTTTCTGTTTGCACATCATTGCATCACCTTGGTTGCCCTTGGCTACCTGATTAATAAAAAAGCAGGTAAACC